GAAAATCCGGGAAAAGCAGAGGCGAGGCGGGGGGAGATCGGGATGGGGGAACTGGGGGAAATTTGGGAGATTTTGGGGTGTTTTTAATGGAATTTGGGGATTTGTTGGGATTTTTAATGGGAATTGGGGGGGATTTTTGGGGTTTTTTTAGTGGAATTTGGGGATTTTTTTGGGGTTTTTGTGGAAATTCGGGATATTTGGGGGTGGTTTTTTAAATGGAATTTGGGCACTTGTTGGGATATTAATGGAAATTGGAATTTTTACGGGTTTTTTAATGGAATTTGGGAATTTGTTGAGATTTTTATGGAAATTGGGGGGATTTTTCTGGGGTTTTTTAATGGGATTTGGGGATTTGTTCGGGTTTTAATGGAAATTGGGGAGGTTTTTTTGCTTTTTAAAATGGAATTTGGGGACTTGTTGGGATTTTGGGGTTTTGTGGAAATTCAGGATATTTTGGGGTTTTTTAATGGAATTTGGGGATTTGTTGGGGATTTGTTGGTGTTTTTTAAATGGAATTTGGGGATTTGTACAGAATTTCTGGGTATTTTGGGGTTTTTTAAAATGGGATTTGAGGGGATTTATTTGGATTTTATACAAAATTTGTGGAGATTTTGGGGGGATTTACACAATTTAGAGGATTTATTTGCTTCTTTCACAGAATTCGCAGATTTTGTTGTGTTTTGCACAGAAATTTGGGGATTTGTTGGGTTTTTTCACAGAATTTTGGGATTTTTTGGTTGTCGTTTTTTATGGAATTTGGGGGGATTTGTTGTTTTTCCAGCTTTTTTCCCCTTTTGGGGCCAAACCCCACCCTGGGATTCCCAAAACCCCACGAATTTCCAGACAAAATTCACATTTTCGGGGTCGTTACCCCAGCGAGAAATATTAAAACCCAACAAAATCCCCCCGAATTTAGGACACAAAAATCGGGAATTTTTTCCTCTTTAATTCCATTTTCACTGAATTTTATTTTTTTTTCTCTGCAGTTTTCCAGCTCTGGAAATTTTGGGGGAGTTTTTGGAGCAGGAGTTCCTGACCCGGCTGAAGTCGGGCGAGCGCTGCGGGGCCACGTGAGTGCCCAAAATGCCCCAAATCCCCCCAAATTCGAGGTTTTTTGGGAATTTTTTTCCCCTTGGGAGTGCCCAAAGAAGGATGGGATTTGGGATTTTTCCAACCCAAACTCAGGATTTTGGGTTTTGATTGAGTTTCCACAATTATTTTGGGTAATTCCCACTAAAAAAACAAACAAACAAACAAACCAAAACAAAACCAAAAAACCTCACAAAACCACCCCAAAAAAACACAAAAAAATTTAAAATAATATGAAAATTGGGAATAAGATATTTGGGATCTGGATAATTCTGGGAAAATGGGAGGAGCAGAATCCCAGGAAAATCCCAGAACCCTGAGCTCTGTCCTGCAAGAAATCCCTTCAAAAATTCCCTTTTTAAAATTCCCTTTTTAAATCCCCTTTTTTAAAATTCCCTTTTATTAAATTCCCCTTTTTAAAAATCCCATTTTTAAAAACCCTTTAAAATATTTCGGGGTGGTTTTTTAATGGAAATTGGGGGGATTTTTGGGGGTTTTTTAAATGGAAATTCCGGGGGATTTTTGGGAATTTTGGGTTTTTCCTCAGCAGGGCCGCGTAGCTCCAGGATTTCCATGGAATTCCCTTCCCGAAATAAAGGATTTTCTCTTGCTGGAATATTGGAATTTCTCTCCGTGGGATCGGGGAGGGGCTCTGAGCATCCCAAAATTCC